TGGTGAATGATCAGAATTTTCATTTGATATTAATTGAATCGATAATCCAAAATGAACTGGAGAACACGCTACATCATGCGTACCAGACCATGATAGACTGACAGCAGTGCCCGTATCAATATTTTTTTTGGCTCCCATTTAAATGCTAAGTAATTTTAAAAAAAGCTAAGTAAAAAATTCTACTTTTGCTAAGTAATTTATTGAAAATAATTCTAAGTAAAAAGAAATTTTTGCTAAGCTTTTTATTTAAATTCTAAGTAAATAACTTTGATTTTCTAAGCGAAATATTAGAAATCGATAGCTAAATAAACAATTTTTGCTAAATAAAGAGACATAAAAATCTAAGTAAAAAATTTAAATGCACAGTTATCGTATTAATAAAGCTTTTGTTGCTCTTCGTGGTCGTCCTCTTTTTCGGTTTTCACCTTATGGTATATATTTTGCTGATGGAGGTGATTTGCAAAACTTCAACCTAATCGTCATATCAATAATGTGTTTTCAAATAAATTCTCTGAAAAAGATTGGAAAATTGCTAAGTTCGTTTCTCCATTCTGATGCATTGTCAGATAAAATTACTTTCGATATTCTAAATTGAAGATCTTTAAATTGATCGAAAGACGTTCATTTTTTCCTTTTGTATTTCTGTATCTCATTTGTTACACAAAAAAGTAGCACTTGATCATTATCATTTGGATAATGTAAATATATTGTTGCATCACATTGCTCGCCACGAAGTTTGACTTTAATTCCATCATGACTGTTGTTGTTGAAATAATATCGACTACCTTGTTTTTCTTGTTTAACCCTTTACCCCCCATGGAGGTTCCAGAAGAGCCACTGATAAAATAACTTTATTAATACAGTACTACCCTCGCTAGTATGCAAATGGCATAATCTGATCCATCGAATGTTTTGCTCCAAGAGTAGGACGATTTGATTTATCCAGAAATCATGGGGTAGGGAAAGAAAATTGAACTACACCGTAAGAGTTGATTTTTATTCTTTGACCACAATGTTGAGTGGACAGAAGGAACATCTATCTCGCGCTATTAGAATAATGGAAAAAAGACGAGAAATAAACCCATAAAAATGAACACCAAAGAATACATGCGTTTTTTAGATGTTTTTTCAAATTAAAGCTAATTTTATTCTTGGCCATTTAATAACCTCATCAAATTGAATTCATCATAAATAGAGTTTCGACTTCTCATGAGTCGAGGTATCTAATATATGTATTAACTGTGCTCTTGATTTCGCCCCATAGGTCAATTGGTGGCTACATGGTCAATCATATTTCTTTGTATGTCATATTCGCTGAGTTATCACTAAAATTTTGAAATATATTTTATTTATCAAAGAACTTCTTCGCCAATTAATATCACATAGAAATGCCATGAGATCTCTATTGGCTGCGAGTAGAAAGTATTTTACTTAAAAAATTTCAATTTTTTTCATTTTTTCAAAATTTTCGATTTTTTAGGCCCTTTATTTCAAAGACGGAGCAATCAAAAGGAACAGTCTTTCTACCAATGGATAGCCCATGAAGTTTACTACAAAAAAGGTGCTTAGCGTTTTTTAACCCGATGCTCCCTTTCTTTTCCGCAGTCGTTCTACAAATGATCACGGGAGGGGGGGGGGGGGGGGGGGGGGTGAAGGGTTAATTGCCATTTGAGCTTGTGCATCATCTGAAAAGCTTCTGTCTTTTATCCAGTGAAATTTACGTCTAACTATTTTCTTTTCTTGAATATCTTGATGGCGGTCGATTTCCGTTTCGTTGTCCGATTCTGATGAGCTCTCATATTGTTGCGTTGGTACAAAATTTGCCATTGTTTGTAAATTTGAAGTAAATCTTGTAGTAAGTGTTGAACAACTTAACCACTCAGCCATAGCGGCTATATATGGAGAAAAACAAGAAGATGATGAACTTCATCTTGACATTTAGCAGATGTTAAGATAATTTATCGTGCCAGGCTTTTCTACTTATCAAATAATGAAATTCTATATTATCGTTTTTTTTAAAGATTGATGACTCAACGAAGCAAAACTCCCACATAGGATGATCAAAATGGACAAAATTTCATCTTATATTCTATTTGATGTTGGATTTACTGTGATAAGTTTTCTTCATTCTGATATTTTTAATTTATTGGTTTTATTATCTCTCTTGTGTTTTTCTTTGAAATAAATATTTATTTATAAATAAATAATTTTACACATCATTATCCGATACTTATTCTTGTCGTGTACCAATCGTATTAACATTAGAAAAACTTCTTGCACTAAATTGCCTAATACTATGTCCATCTCATGCATATATTTATGAAAATTATAATACAGAAAGATCAACAATAGTTAAGCATGTACTGATTATATACAATTATTCATTACTATGGTTGATTATTCATGAAATATATTCATTAAATGTTCTATCATATATTTCTATCATCAGTAACAACAAATTCAGTACCATTAAAAAATTTTCATATTTTTTTATTATTCCGTGATTATTCAATTGAAGAATTAATAATAGAAAAAAGGAACCGATATTGTTTTTTCTTATTGTATTTCATCACATTGAACCATTTTTAAATTATGATATAACCGATGATTTACTTTATGGTTTATTTAAACTAAAATAATTAACAGTAGGATATTTTCCTCGTACACTTATATGAATTGCTCATCAGCCATGTTGTCAATTACCACAAATGAATCAAACAGACAGAATTAGGTATATTTAATTACCTATGACGATTTTTGTACCGGCGTATACTTCTACAGGAATTGTAACCATATTATAAAATATATTAACGCGTATGAATATTTTTCGTTTATTTTTTTGTTGTTAAGAATTTTTTTCAAGACTAACAAGATATTATTCCATCGTCTATGCGTCAAATAGAAATAATAATTGGATTAGCACTACAAATATTTTATGTTGTTATCAAGGATCTTGTAGAATTAAAATAGATGTCATCAATGTGTATTAAAGATTTTTTACTTAATAATAGAAAAAGAAAATGAATGATAATGGAATTAATAATGATTATCGAATCCTTTATGAAAAAGAAATTTCTATGAAGATGTCTAATATCATTTTTCATTTTAAATTTTAAAAATAAAAATAAGAAAATATCCATGATAAATGATGGCGCTTAAAAATTCGACAAGCTTGAATTACGAAACTTATGAAATCATCGAATGGAAAAGCCAATTTAAAAAAAACAAAGATTTACAATTGAATAACTTCAACTTTACAGAGAGGATCAGGAGATTATCAATTAAACATCTAAAAGATATTCCTATACTTACGTCTAGTAAGTTTTTTTTATGAAATGGTAGATGCGCTTAAGGATGACAAGAAGATAAAGCAATAAACAAATAGATTTTTCTTTATTATAGTTTTCAAAAAATTTCCTTTTTTAAAACAACAATAATTTTCTAGAACAAATTTTATTATGTATAGATAAGTAAAGTAATCATAAGATGATATGAATAGCATATAATGGACTTCTGATGCGATTGTGGACAAAAACAATAAAGAATATGAAGAATGAGAACAAGCAGTATTATGTTTATCTGGAATAATTTATAATTCTGTCTTGTGATCGAGCAAAAGAATAAGATTAAAAATGGCACATATGGTTTGATTTCTATGAGATAAGTGTATATTTAAATGGTGAAGAAAACAATACGACACGAACAAATCTCCATTAACTCTTCGTGGCTGACCTGGGGTTCGAACGGCCTCACTTTGCAGTTTTTCGTGTATTACTTCATTAATACTTCCTGTTTTCGACCATTGTCCTTCTGTAATCTCTAGTCTAACGCTGGTGCATACATGTATAAAAGGGTTGAAGAAAACACTATTAATCACGTTTGATGATTTTCTATAGATAGATCTGCGCGGACCACAAGACAGCTACACAGTTACAAAATCGGGACAGCTACGAAGGGTTAATTAGGTAAAAATAAAAGAATAATAATCACATTATTATTGTTCATATCTATAGTGTTCAATAAAAATATCTACAGAAAAAAAGGAGAGAGAAGTTGGCAAAGATAACTTAGAAGAAAAAAAAAATGAATGGGATAAAACTGATCATATCACACGTAAATACAAGAGAATATATATGTACATGTGTAAATGTGCTGATATGTGATATAAAAAAGGAAGAAGAAAGTGTGAGATTATATTTCATAGAATTATTTTTTCACCTTTTAAAATAATTAGATCAATGGACCAGCATTAATTAGAACAGGGACATAAGTTATATTTGCATGAGAAAGTGAAAATGGTATTCACAAACAAAAACGAAAGGATGTAGTCATTCGCACTTGCACAATTTTAAGAAAAAAACAACCAAAGATACTGTATAAATTCTGCAGATCATTATTTTCCAGCTTAATTCAATTGAAAAACAAATTAAAAAAAAAGAATGAAGACTAAAAGATTATAAATGCAAACAGTAGCATTATTCTTTGATTGTCATTTGTTCTGGCACTATAAAGTAAAACAAAAATCCACAGGAAAAAGTAAGAGAAAGCGGACGAACTCGTTTATAAAGAAGAAAAAAGCAGCTCAATGAGAGATTATAGTGCTCAAAACAGCACCACATTATGTATATAATACATAAAATCAAGAAAATCTAAAAAGAATGAAATAATATATTCTCTATCGCAAGCGCAGAAAGTCAACAGAGTACATGGTGAGTGTACTGTTGTTGTAAAAATACAGAGCAGAAGGTGGAGATAGTGTTGCGGTTTTCTCATTAACAACACCAATACCATTACTATTTCCACATACTTCAACAGATGATGATGCTGAAATCGGAAGTAATATACGGACTTATTATTTGTGCGTGTTGATGATATGGTTGTTGTAATGTTGATAATAATAATGGTGATTGCGTTGTACCAGTTGTTGTTAATAATGTTGTCGTAGGATTTGTTCTATTTAGAATTTGACAAGCTAATGCTGTCGTATATTGTTGAGCTAATTAACTTACATTTAACATGGTTGTTGTTGAAGCTAAATTTATTTTATTATTAAATCTTTGAAAAAACAAAACTAATTATTCAAATATATACTTGAAAGATGAATAGCAGCATTATTTATTGCAGAAAGTGTTCTCAATGGAGCTTCAGTAAGTGTCATTATTGGTGAACCGTAAATATTTGGAATATCTGTTAAATATCTTGCATCAATTGAAACAGGTCCATTAGAATTTTCACTTGGTGGTAATATTGGATTTGCATAATCTCGACTTTTATCATGTTTATATTTGACATTTAATGAATGTAATTTAGAAAAATAAAAAAATCAATTTGTCATGTACAACAACCATTATAAATATTTTGACCATTTAAACTCTTTAGAAAAAAAATTATTTCTATGATTGATAAAAATATCTTTGAATGTTTCTTTTTACTAATTCTGCCGATTGTGCAGTAGCTGTATCATTCATTTATATTAAACCTTGAAATTTAGGGGTGTGTGTGTGGGTGTAGGTGTGTGGGGTGTGAGTGTGGGTGTGGTGGTGGGTGTCTAACGAATACTGCACCCACACCCACACCATAGCAGTTCTCTTTTACTTCCAACAGTTTTTGATCATACATTTTTAAGGGGAGCCAAAAAAGTATCGCTGAATCATAGCAGAAATATGAAAATAAGAAAGTTTCTTACCAATCACGTTAGCTGTTTCGCCTATATGAACAATTAGTGACTGTCCATACACCGTTAATGCTGGTTGAGAACAGCTCACCGACTGATGTATGAAAGTTTTTGTTATTACTGGTCTACACTTCTTTGGCTTTTAGAAACTTTATCATATTCATATATATCCATCTACTATTCCTTTAATTTTTGTTCCTTTAAGTGTATGTGAGAATAGTACGTCCATAGCTCTTTATTCACACAGGGTATGCACGATGGCATAGTTCCTTTCAGTAGAGGGTGAGCGACGTTTGCGTCGCGTTACTTGTTGTTGTAGGAAGAAGCCAAGTCGGGATGATTCGGACGAAGAGCTGTTTTTCGAATTTCCAGTGATAGTTCATAAGATGAAAGTGCTTTTGAGTACTCGCCCATGTTAGAATACACCAAACCGATGCTGTTGTAGGACGCAGCCAAGTCGAGATGATTCGCAGAAAGAGCTAGCTTTTGAATTTCAAGTGATCGTTCATACGATGAAAGTGCTTTAGAGTACTCGCCCATGTTAAAATACACATTACCGATGTTTCCGTAAGAAGAAGCCAAGTCGGGATGATTCGGAGGAAGAGCTAGTTTTTGAATTTCAAGTGATCGTTCATACGATGAAAGTGGTTTTGAGTACTCGCCCATGTCTATATGCACATTGCCGATGTTCTTGTAGGATATAGCCAGGTCGGAATGATTCGAAGGAAGAGCTGTTTTTTGAATTTCAAGTGATCGTTCATACGATGAAACGGCTTTAGAGTACTCGCCCATGTGTTTATGCACATTACCGATGTTGTTGTAGGACGTAGCTAAGTCGGGATGATTCAGAGAAAGAGCTGTTTTTTGAATTTCTAGCGATCGTTCATACAATGACAGTGCTTTTGAGTACTCGCCCATGTGTTTATGTAGATTGCCGATGTTGTTGTAGGACGTAGCGAAGTCGAGATGATTCGGAGGAAGAGCTATTTTTTGAATTTCCAGTGATAGTTCATAAGATGAAAGTGCTTTTGAGTACTCGCCCATGTGTTTATGCACATTACCGATGTTGTTGTAGGATATAGCCCAGCTGGGATGATTCGGAGGAAGAGCTATTTTTCGAATTTCAAGTGATCGCTCATGCGATGAAAGTGCTTTTGAGTACTCGCCCATGTTAGAATACACGCTACCGATGTTTTCATAAGAAGAAGCGAAGTTGAGATGATTCGGAGGAAGAGCTATTTTTCGAATTTCAAGTGATCGTTCATACGATGAAAGTGCTTTTGAGTACTCGCCCATGTGTTTATGTAGATTGCCGATGTTGTTGTAGAACGTAGCCAAGTCAGAATGGGTCGGAGAACGAGTTTTTTCATAGAAATCACATGTTTTTTCGTAAAATACAATTGCTTCTGAGTATTCACCCATGAGATCTAGCACCCATCCAAGTTGGTGACTGTATTCTGCTAGATCTTTCTCTGAAGATGCTTTTTCTAGGAGAATTTCATAGAGTTGTTTTGCTTTTGCAGAATCGCCCAGTTTAATAAGTATATAAGCAACTCGAGACCATCCTTTTGTTTTACCAAGCTCCTTTTGCATGTGAGTTGTGACATCCTTTAATTCGTGGTCATCATTACCTGTAAGAGTCAAATTAACTTGCCATAACTGATCACTGTGGTTATCTTGATTCGGTTGGATATGATCAATTCTGAATATGGTATGTGTTGTAAAAAGGATTTCAGCTTCGTCGTCATTGTAGAAACCTTCTTCTTTAACGATGACGAAAGGAATGGATGATTTTAAACATATTGCTGGATCAATCGTCATAATGAAGAGGATACCAACCATATTGGAACTAGCAAGTGCTCCCAGTTGAGCGAAATCAAGGGATAGCTTACGATTTTCGCTCTTTGAAAGAAAGTTGTTAAAGGACATAAGCCCTCCTGTGGTTTGTTTCATTTTATTGAAACTTTCAATTGATAAGCCTTGTCCACGATAGACTGTGAATGGCTTCGTGACTTTTAGATCGGATTGTTGTTGCTTTTGATGTAACTTTTCAATATCATGGTGTAAATCACGAATGAAGAAGCCCATTTTCAAGATAATGTCGACATCCAGAAGTCGAAGACCACGATTAAGCATAGAATAGATGAAATATGGACCCGTGTACCACCAAATGGGTGAATGATTACCGTATTCTTTCTCAAGCTTTTTAATTGTTGCTTCGGAAGAATCACTTTGAACACGACAGTACTCAGCGAGTTCTTTAATTGATTTTGCGTTGTCATCGTCGATATCCAAAAGTGCTTCTTTTAACAACTGTGTATACATAAATAACGCATCAACCCCATGATAACTAATCGAAATCATCGATTGTTCACATATTTTACGATCTTTTTGTAATACTGTACAAATCTCTCCGATTTGTGTGTATAGACCTTTTACCTTAGGAACTGTGTTCACCCAAGATTCATGAATGGGCTGATTGGAACAGAGAACATAAATGAAATGTAATTGTAGACACGCGTAAATTTCTGGTAAAATATGCCGACCCAATGAATCAGAAACAATCATGAAGACTTTTTCATCTTTAATATCGGTCAGAAAATCAACACATACACCAACATCTGAAAATGGTATAACTGATGTTGCTATGTGTCGTAGATCTTGTAATTGATCGAAACTGTCACCAAGCCAAATAAGAAGAAAATCTTGTAGAGTTCGACGAAGACTTTCAGGCAATACAGCAATAGTTGTTGCTTTTTGCTTGCTCATAACGGCAACAAAAGAAATGTACGTAAGCTCCTTGTACTTATTCTGGTTTTGATTTTAGTTTTTGTTTACACATCTTTTTTTCTGGTTTGAATAAAGCAAGGAAGAAGCGGAACGAAAAAAGCCCAGGTCCAGAAGAACGAAGAAAAAACGTGTTCGCCACGTCCAACGCGAACGCGTGCTTCATGTTTCGAACGCATTCTTTATTCGTTCTGCACGCGTGCAAAATACATGACCACGCTAATGGCACACACACTCAGATGTCTCTTTTTATTGGTCGTGTAAATGATCGTTCAAATTTATAAGCCTCATTTCATCAATAGTTCGATCCATTATTTATTTCGATTTGTTTCATGTTACAAAAAGAAACATGTTCACACATATGAGTACAGTCAAAAATGCTAATTAAAATCAATTAAATGCATCACAAAAAAAACTAACCAGCAATAAAAACAAGTAATATCTGAAGAAAAACATAATCTCACATAGGTTTCACTCTAATTAAAATATCGTTTTCAGTTACATGTTCGAGAGAATCGAAGAGAAAAAATGTGATACATAATAATATGTAGAGAAAAAAGAATTCTAATCGAGCCATGATTTCCTAATAATAATAATAAAATTAAACTTTTTCAAAATCTCACTTGGGTCTTCGAGTCACTATTAGAGACCTGCAATAGACTCCGAAAAATGACTCCGACTCCGCCGGAGTCGGAGTCGGAGTTGAAAACCAAGATTTTTTCGGAGTCGGAGTCGAAGTTCATGTAAAATTTGGTAGACTCCGAAAAGCTTCTTCTTTTCTTAGGCTGTGGGTGTGGGTGTGGGTGGGGTGGGTGTGGGCGTGGCTGTGGGTGTGGGTGTGGGTGTGGGTGTGAGTGTGGATGAGAGTGTGGGTGTGGGTGTGGGTGTGGGTGTGAGTGTGGATGAGAGTGTGGGTGTGGGTGTGGGTGTAGGCGTGGGTGTGGGTGTCGGTGCGGGTGTGGAAGAGAGTGTGGCTGTTTCTTCTCTTTCCCATCATCAACACCCACAACCACCCACCCCCACAACCACCGACACCCACACCCACACCCACACCCACACCCACACCCACACCCAC